AATAGAATTCTAGGATGCATCACTAGTCTTGAGGGATCCACAGTAGGAGGAAGGAGGTCCAGATTCCCTATATAGATCTTTAGTTAGACCTCATTTAGAACTGTGTGCAATTCTGGAGACCTCACTTACAAAAGGCTATTGATAGAACATGTTTAGAGACAGGTAACAAAAATGATGAAAGGTCTGAGAGATAAAACATATGAAGAGAGACTTCAGGAGCTTAATATGTTCAGTCTGGAGGAAAGAAGGGAAAGGAGAGACATTACTGAAACCTTCAAAGGGGTGAATAAGGTTCAAGAGAGCAGGATTTTCAATACGAAACCAAGATCAAGAACACGGGCATATGACTTCAAACTAACTGGAGGAAAGTTCAAAACTAATCTTAGAAAGTATTCTTTTACTGAAAGGCTAGACAAAGCTTAGAATAGGCTTCCAGCAGAGGTAATGAGTCAGTCAACAGTAAGTGGTTCAAACATGCATGGGACAAACATAGATACTTAAAGAAAGTTAACAACAAAAACAAAACACAAAACATGTATAAGAAAAAAAAACAAGGGGCAGACTCGATGGACCACTTGGTCTTTTTTGCTTTCACTTTTTTATGTTTCTATGACATGTCTTGCAGAGAATTATGGCTGTTTCTTTTTACTCAGTTCTTAAAGCGGAGTTCCAGTCAAAAGAGGAAGCTCGGCTTATTTGCCTGCTCCTCCACTGCCATATTTGGCACCTTTTGGGGGGGGAGCGGGTACCTGGTTTTGACAGGTATCCGCTCCCACTTCCAGCTCAGTTCGCCGTGGCAAAGTGAGCCAGAAGTTCGACCCTCTCCTCCCTCCGCAGTCTCCTGGGAACTTTCATAGGTCCCAGGAGACTGCCGGACCAATTAGGAGGCGCAGGGCGACTCTTGCATGAGCAGTGGGCACCAGGCTGTGAAGCCGCAAGCTGTCACAGGCTGGTGCCCACAGTAGAGATGCCGGCACCATGGAAGAAAGAAGTGGAGAAGGGATGGCGTGGGTGAGAACATCGCTGGACTCTGGGACAGGTAAGTGTGTGTTTATTAAAATTCAGCAGATACAATTTTTGTAGCTGCTGAATTTTATTAAACACAAAAACTGCTGGAACTCTGCTATAGGAAAGAATTTGAACTCCACTCCCTTTTCTTAGAGTGAGTTTTTTTTAATTAGACTAAACAGTCTCGTTTCTGTAAAAAAAAATGTATTCAGGGCTCTATCTAGTGGCCAAATCTAATATTGCAGGCTGAATTTCCCTGCTGGAGGCCGAATGCTTGTGCTTAGGGTCATTGTCATGCTGGAAAGTCCAAGAGTATCACATGTGCAGCTTTCATACAGAAGAATGCAAAATGTTTGTCAGTATTTCTAATTTCCCCACTACCTATCACAGTTTTGTAGGCCATGAAGCACCAGGCCAGTGAAAACAAATGGGGACACTAGCTATGATAACACTGGTACTGGTATGGTGGTGATCTGGATGCTGCTATGGCAGTGATCAGGGCATTGGAATGGCAGTGATCAGGACACTGGTATGGCTGTGATTAGGACACTGGTATGGTGTATGACAGTGATTGGGACATTGATTTGGGCTATAGTGGTGATCAGGACCCTGGTATGGGGTGTGGCTGTGACCAGGACTCTGGTATAGTGTATGGTGGTGATCAGGATGCTGGTATGGGGTATGGCGGTGGTCAGGACACTGGTTCAGGGTATAGCGGTAATCAGGACACTGGTAAGGGGTATGGCAGTGATCAGGACACTGTTATGAGGTATAGAGGTGATCAGGACAACGGTATGGCAGTGATCAGGACACAGGTATGAGATATTGTGGTGGTCAGGATGCTGGTATAGGGTGTGGCAGTGATCAGGACACTGGCAAGGTATGTTAGTGATCAGAATGCTGGTATGGGGTCTGGCAGTGACCAGGTTGCTGGTATAGGGTATGGCGGTGATCAGGACCCTGGTATGGCATGTGGCAGTGATCAGGATGCTAGTATGGTAGTGATCAGAACACCAGTATGGAGTATGGCAGTGATCAGGTTGCTGGTATGGAGTGTGGTGGTGATCAGGGCACTGGTATGGTATATAGAGGTATGGTTTCACTGCAATCAGGAACACTGGCTGGTGGCAATGGTCTGGTGACACTGGTGTAGCTTAATGATAAGTTACAGTGTTACTGGCAGCACTGGTGACACTGGGACAGGTGTCACAGGTGACAGGGGCCTGGCTGCACTGTTTATTAGTATTATACTGGAGATCAGGGACACTGTTGCAGGCTGGCACTGGTGTATACAGATATAGTATAAAGCGCCAGCACTACTGTATATGAAGAAACCATATTAATCCCAAAATGTGAATAAAATAATTTAAAAAATACACTTATTTTTCGATAAAGTGCAAGTCCAACAAGTTTTAGCTGCACTTCAAAATTAGTGTTTTACCTTATAAGTGCCTTACTATAAAGTGCACATGTGAACAAATGATTTTAACATAACTACAAGACCAACTTGTATATCTAAAGAAATATTATATAAAATCCAGTGCAATATTATATCAAATATGGTGTATGTCCCATGTGATAGATCACTGGTAATGTGAATCCACTCCAAACGTGCTCAACAGTCCGCAAAGTATTCAATGAAATGACTTCCCAGTGATTCACACCACTCATTCACTCATCAGAGTTCCATGAGCCATTTATTTCTTAAAGGGTCTGGAATTGTTTGTGTCCAAATGCTTATCTAACCCTACGGCTAAGGTTGATTTCACCTGACCCCGGCCTCCACCTAGTGTCAGGGCATTGATGAGCAAACACATGTAAAGGTACCCCATGTCCAGGACCAGTGACAACACCCACTGAATGGCATAGCCCAGCTTATAGCTAGTAAAATGGCCCCATCCCACAGACATATGGGTATGTCCACCTGCATCAGCGCTGCTCTCGCCAATTCATATAAATGGCCGGTTAAAGGCTAATGTCACCAATAAGGAAAAAATAATGAATGACTATAATTTTGCAGGAAAAATGGTAATTTATTATTTTTCTCACAAAAGCCTGCAAAGTATTGCACCTGCTCTCAGTGGATCAGTAGATCAATGGATCCTGGGTGCAATGTCAGGCTCCTGCTGACACTTCCTCAGCCTTTTCAGGTAGAAAGCTGGAGGAAGTGTCAAAGGACTACAAGTGGACTGATCAGAGGGGGAGGATTGGGGTGCTTAGCAACATGTAACACCCTCATTATGGGTGTAACGCAAAATATGTTTCTAAAGGCGTACTTAGCCTTTAAAAAGTCAAAACAGCATGACAAAATGTGAGCAAGAAAATGATTATGAAAGACCTGGGGCACCCTGGGAAAGAAGAGAAAAATCAGTTCTGCAGCGTGGGAGGATCTTAAATGGTTATTGAACAGAATCTTCACCTGCTGTATACACTGCACACACATATGCTACAGTCCTTCTACCCACAAAATACTAATTACTGCACCAGCCCCACAGACACACATAAACCTCAGCACAAAGGCACATTTTTAATTAAAGGTTTCCATTACATAAAGATTTATGCAAACAAAAATGATATTTTTGTGTTACTGAGGCTACCTTACAGAAGAACTTCATTAAAAGCAGCAACTGTTGATACAATGAACTACCTTAGTCAGGTCTATATACAACATAATCTGTAGAGGGCAGAGGTCAAGAGGAAGTAACAAACAAAACAACATATGGAGTGCAGCAGTCAGGATGAGTGCTACATTTATGTTACAGTCATCCCTTACATCTAAGTCCTCAGCATTCCCCCTATAAATCAGAGTCCCCTTTACATCCGTATCCCCAGTGTGCCCCTTTACATCAGAGCCTCCAGAGTCCTACCTTACATCAAAGCCCTCTTACATCCTCCAGAGCGCACCCTTACATCAGAGCCTCCAGAGTCCTACCTTACATCAAAGTCCTCTTACATCCTCCAGAGCGCACCCTTACATCGGAGCCTCCAGAGTCCCACCTCACATCAGAGTCCTCTTACATCCTCCAGAGCGCACCCTTACATCAGAGCCTCCAGATTCCCACCTTACATCAGAGTCCTCTTACATCATCCAGAGTGCTCACTTAGTGCATCCAGAGTGCCCCCTTACATCCTCTAGGGTGCATCCTTAGTACCTCCAGAGTGTATCCTATTGGTACTAAGTTGGTGCGACAAAAGTGGTGTCAGACCACTGCCATTTTTAACACTTGTGACAAATAACTAATCAACCTCACATGCAGGGGCGGACTGACCATTTGGAAACTCGGGCACTGCCCGAGGGCCCGGGGTCAGTAGGGGGCCCCATGAAATGCCCCTGGTACCTTTTTCATAGGCTTTTTTGAGTTTGGGCAAGGACACAGGGGCCCCATGATCCCATATTGCCCGGGGGCCCCATGAGTTGTCAGTCCGCCCCTGCTCACATGGCATTGTCGCCGATACACAACAATGGCACTCTCAGCCTCACTTTGCACAAAGTTGTGCGGGACCACAATCTAATTGCCAAAAGACTGAGAGCAATTGTCACTGGGTTGGGTTAGCTAAGCAATTAACTCTTTAAACTGACATCACCAACTACTTTTATAGAGAAGTAGTAAACTTTCACAAGATTAGCAATAGCAGCTTATGATTTTAGAATAAATGTCTATAACATACACTGTCACCACAGACAGGCATATTCAGAGAATTACAATACAGTAGCACTCTTCAAGAGACAGGGATCCTTCGGGTTTTCGTTAGCGCATTAGAGACAGTTTTAACACTTTTCAAAATATGGTTTAATAATGAAAAGGGTAAAATGGTGCAAATAAAATATTTACAATAAAAGGTCCTACAAAGAAGCAATAATGCAACAGAGAAATTAAAAGGAATTGAGGGGGAGAATATTTAAGAACGTCCTGGTTCAGCAGAGTCCAATCAATCAAGCAAGATGATATATTGGCTCTCATATAACTTGACAGGTGTTCCTTGGTTTGATGTTAACCTCCCTGGTGGTATTCCCGAGTGTAGCTCGGGGTAAAGTTTCAGTACCACAAGTGGTAACCCCGAGCTACACTCGGGCTTACCATGCGGTGCTGCTCCAGGATCTGTTCTTCACTTACCTTGTCCTGCGCTTACCTTGCCGGCATCTGTCTTCTGGGTTCCATCCCCTGCGACGTCGGGACGTACATAGACGGAACCGGCGGGAAACTTGAAAATGACAAAAAGTGACGTTCACTAAATACACTAAAATCACATAGTAAAACATTACTGTGTCAAACCTTTTCACATACATTTTGTCCCGAGTGCTTTGTCCTGTGCCCTGCCTGCATTTTTACTGTTCTTTCTGCCTGGAAACTGAGAAATGTCCATGGCATCCAAAAAGTGTCTTTAGATCAAAATCGGTTTTAGACCAGCTAGAGAACAGCGATAGTAAATCAGAACTACTTGCAGAATTGAGTGATAATGATTCGTGGGGAAATTCGTCATCAGACTCTGAAAACGATTTTGTGACTGAGCGCAGTAATGTGTGAACTTGGTGCTATATTTCAAATTTCAGTGTTTTTGGTTTGATTATATTATTGAATTAAATTTATTATTATATTATTATTTTTATGATTATTTATTAAATTATAATTTATGATTTCGTGTTTCAAATTTTAACATACCCGGGATGTTCACTAGACTCTTGCTTCGGACAGATTTCAGTGAGTTATTCCTAAAAATTTCAGGCCTACAATAAAAAAAAAGACATATTTCCATGCAAAAAAATGTACTCTTTGAGCACAGAAATATGGACATAATCAGACTGCTAGGGAGGATAAACAAGAGCTGACCACTGCAAGGGCAGCCTTCTTTTCTTGTCATTAAGGGAGGGGGGAGTCAAACAATTGACAGAAATGACCTGACCAATCATTCGGTCTAAGGTGTGGCTGCTGGAATGTCACTATTTTTACGAGCATATCCCTGATACAGTTTTGTACAGGTATTAATATATTTGAATAACTACAGGTTACAGTCTATAAATAGAAACCTTGCACCAAAGAAATAAAAATGAATCAAAGTAAATGCTGCTGTTCAAAAAAAATGACTAAACATCAAATAAACTCATAAAGTGACACAGCGCAAATAATAAAAAGATGTGAGGAAATTAATAGAAGTCCAAAAAACAAACTCTCAAATTAAAGACCAGTGTCCCAAAAATCTGTGACAAAATTATAACTCTAACACAAACTTCATATATTTTTCAGCATGCTCACATCATCAGTGATAAATTATTTGACCACACACACTCACCAAATGCTGTGGATTCTCAAGCTGATATGGCTTTGAGAAGCAAAAAACAGGCTTAGAGGTGGAGTGTAGTTTCCTCAGATGTTATTTCTCCCCAGGGGCGGACTGACCATTGGGGAACTCGGGCACTGTAGGGGCCCCATGAGATGCCCCTGGTACCTTTCATAGGCTTTTTTGGGTGTGGTTTCAGTGTTGGCTAGGACACAGGGGCCCCATGATCCCCTATTGCCCAGGGTCCCCATGAGTTGTCAGTCCGCCCCTGTTTCTCCCTTTAACAATTTCTTACAGAATCTCCTTCCAGGATGATTCCACATAGGGTGATATAAAATATAAAAGAAAATGCCAATAGTATAATACTGTATGAGGGTCAAAGAAAATTTTCTTAAAAGACCTTCCTTACACTCACATTAAGTGGCTTTAAAACCAACTTCCATGGATTCACATGCCTCCCAAACAACCGATAATGATCCCTCCTTAACTTCCTCCAAGCTCTCACTCATGGATGGATGGATGAGGGTGATTCGATGAATTTGTGACCAGCTTGTATGGACAAAAAAGCCTCCCAAGCTGCCACTAATGATTCCTCCTTGATTTCCCCCCAAACTCTTGCTCATGGATGGATGGATGAAAAATGCAAAAGAAAGGATACCAAATAGTGTAACACTGTATAGAAAACTTTTAATAATAAAGTGATGCTTCAAATGCACTCACATTTTAAAACTGAGTAACAAGCCTTTTTTTATTAGATCAGGACTCCTTTAAACAGGCTCCAACAGCCCTCCTGACATTTCCAGCTAGGCAGACACAATTGATCAGCATTCAAATAATTTTCCCCACACTAAAGATGGCCACGGAACGCCGCATCAGCGTGTGTTTCACTCACCGGATATGACGTCACACGTTCAAGGTAGGAACCGGAAGTTACGTCAACGTGTTTGGCCCTCCGACAAGGCGTCGTCACGGGACACTAATGCCAGTTCTTCACTGCCAATACTGATCAATTGTGTCCGCCTAGCTGGAAATGTCAGGAGGGCTGTTGAAGCCTGTTAAAAGGAGTCCTGATCTAATAAAAAAAGGCTTGTTACTCAGTTTTATAATGTGAGTGCATATTACTGGCTACTGGTGGCGGCGGTAGGCTGACTCATGAGCTGCTGGCAAAAAATCACTTTGAAAAAAATATGAACAAAAATTGTGTTGCTCTGTATCCTTAAAATGGAAATAATAATACTTTTTTTAATAATTAAAATTTGTGTACACAGGGTGGATGTATACATGTGTAGCGCCCACTAGGTGGAGCTAGTGTAAGGTAAATTTATCTTTTGCTCATAGTGAAGGAGCCTGAATTTCTGTGGGTTCAGTGTGAGGTCAGAATGGGTGTTTTAGCAGGTTGGGAATCTATCGCCTCCACCTGGTTCTGGAGGTCCATGGAAGCTTCCAGAATCCAGTGGGTGGAAGGGTGCAGACCTCAATCTGAATATTCATGGCAGTCTTACCAATCCTAGGCTAAGAGGCCCTAGTAGTATGGTACACTAGCTCATAAATATGAGAGAGCCATGCTAGCAGGGGTCGGGTAGAAGATGGATTGCTGAGAGGTGTTGTGGTGCAGCCTGGGTAGGTAGGTAGACTGGAAGCTGACAGAGAAGTTGAAAGAGGGAGCTCAACTGCCCCACAGTCCACTGGGGAAGGACAGCCTGCAAAGGAGAGGAACTAGCCCAGTTGAAAGTAGTTCTACACCCCCAGGGCCTAAAAGGGAGAAGTCTGTTGGATGCAAGTTCTGGCAAGTCTTCAGAGGACAGTTCATAGTGTAGCAACCTCCTAGGTAGCTAGGGGGAGTTAGACTCCAATTGTTAGCTAGGGCTGAGTAGCAGCCTGGGAGTAATAGTTAGCAGGGGTCAAAATTTGGTTAGAGCTGAGAGGCTCTGCAGACCAGCCCTCTGGAATTTCCCCCTGTTCTAGACCTTTGGAGAAAGGTCTAGAAGCAGTGGGTGAATATGAGGAGTGGCTGGTCTGCACTTTTGAGGGAGCTTGGCCAGTCCCCAACAGGAGGCTTGGCAAGGGTACAGTACAACCCTTAAAATTGATTGAGCCTGCTCAAGGGGGAGAGAGGAGGAGCAAGAGAGAGAGTGAAAGAGAAGGATGTGAGGCTGGAGGCAGGAGACTATGAGGGGGCATAGATGGAGAGGGGCTCATCTGCAGGCAGAGGACCTTGGAAGGTGGAAATTTGGACTTCACCAGCCCCGAGAGAGAACCACCTGTGTGTGTGGCAGGGACAGAGTGACCCCGCTAGAAGGCCTGGTAGGAGCCACAGACCCAACGGCAGCACAAGAGAGGGACAAAGCAAGTAAACGTGCACCGCCTGGGCCAGTAATGGGAAAGGTCACTCTAGTAGGGTATTGGATTTCCTTTCTTACCTGGGACTGTTTCACTCTGCAGTGGATGACACTGAATCCCCTGCCCAGGGATTCTCCCAGTACAGCTGGATGAGGAGAGGAGTCATCTGGGGTCTGGGATGGTACTATCAGAGATGCTGGCTAGCTTTCCTGAAAATAAACTTTGCTGTAAAGACTTTAACACAGTTGCTAAGGAGTTTTTTCCTCAGCTGCCATTTCCCTTAGGCACCCCATATACCCCTTACACCATCCAAGCTTTAAACACCCCTAACTAAACTTCAGAACAAAGCTCAAGGACTGGTTACTGTCTCCTAATGCAGGTCTGAGTGAAGGAAATGCGTGTTGCCTGGCTGTGCAGGACTATAGGGGGACCCAAAACTTCAACAACTCCTAACGGGGTAGTGCTACAATAGCTTACCCAATCCTTTGTCCTGGGATCAGATACCATAGCCAGGTGGGCTGGTATTATGTGTACTAAGGGGATCAAAAGCTCCTACAAGTCACATTGCTAAAAAAAAATCACTTGGGGATACCAAGCTCCTAGATGGGGATTATTCTACTAAGGACTGTGATGGTTGCGGCTGTAATGCAGTAAAGTGTTTGTCATTTTTTTTTATAAGTGTGCTAGAGCAGGAAACGTCCTCATTCTGCTGTTTTTTCAATAATATTGGGCATCATAACCCCTTTACCCCATTCAAGTTGTTAACCCCTAATAACAACAAACAAGCTCATGGACTGTGTACTGACTGTGGATGAAAGTGTGGAAAATGTGTGTTGCCTGGCTGTGCAGAGCTTAAGGGGGACCCAAAAACTCAGCGGCCCTCAAGATGGTAACGCTACACATATTTTTTTTTTTGTATATTTCACTATCGTGATTTCAACGGTAAAGGTGGATGTATATGTTTGTGGGAAAATGTGATGAGACATTAAAGCATATTGTGTTTTTTTTCACTTCACTTTTTGTTTTAAAGAAAAAGTGCAGCACGCATTTTATTTGTAAAAAATGTATTTCTATTTTACCCTCCCTGGCGGTATTCCCGAGTGTAGCTCGGGGTAAAGTTTCGGTACCAAAAGCGGTAACCCCGAGCTACACTCGGGCTTACCATGCGGCGTTGCTCAGGGATTCCCTGCAGCGCTTACCTTGTCCTTCGCTCCCGCGATGTCCCTCCTGCAGCGTCCCCGGCCATCTCCTCCGGCGGATGCCGGCATCCGGCTTCTGTGTTCCGGTCCCTGTGACATCGGGACGTACGGGCGCCGGAACCAGCGGCAAATTTGAAAGTTTTAAAAAATTAAGTTTTTTTTTAAAACAAATATAACATAGTAAAACATTGCTGTTTCAAAGCATTTCACATACATTTTGTCCCGAGTGCTTTGTCCTGTGCCCTGCCTGCATTTTTACTGTTCTTTCAGCCTGGAAACTGGGAAAAGTCCATGGCGTCCAAAAAGCATCCTTTTAGGTCAAAAGCGGTTTTATACCAGCTAGAGAACAGCGATAGTAAATTAGAACTACTTGCAGAATTGAGTGATAATGATTCGTGGGGAAATTCGTCATCAGACACTGAAAACGATTCTGCGACTTTGTTCAGCGATATGCGAACTTGGCACTATATTTCAAATTTCAGTGTTTTTGGTTTGATTATATTATTGAATTAAATGTATTATTATTATATTATTATTTTTTATGATTATTTATTAAATTATAATTTATGATTTCATGTTTCAAGTTTTATCATATCCAGAATGTTTACTAGACTCGGACAGATTTCAGTGAGTTATTCCTAAAAATGACAGGCCTACAATAAAAAACTACATATTTCCATGCAAAATAATGGTACCGATTTTAGCACCAAAAATCTGAAATAATCATACCGCCAGGAAGGTTAAAGATACAGTGCAACACAATATTTGTTCAAATGCAGAAAAGTTTCCTGAACCAGATGCAACCCCTTTGGTGGAGCTGAACCACTGTAAGACCTATTACAGCACTGAACTGCATTCATAGTTACATACTGTAGTTACATAGTTAGTCTGGCTGAAAAAAGACAAAAGTCCACCCAGTTCAACCACAAAAAAAAAAAAAAAAAAGTTGTAATCCTATACCCACAGTTGATCCAGAGGAAGGCAAAAAAAAACCAGCAAAACATGATCCAATTTGCTGCTGCAGGGGAAAAAAAAATCCTTTCTGATCCCCCGAGAGGCAATCGGATATTCCCTGGATCAACTTTTTTAGGTGTACAAACAGATTCCACAAACAAATCATGTCTGTAAACTCAAAAGTGTGGAAAGAAGATACGCAAAGTGATAAAAAAAAGATAAAAAGAGGAATGGTGGGAGAGAGTGAGAGAAAGAGAGAGATAAAGGGTTAAAGAAAGAGAGAAGGGAAGGGAAGAGTGGTGGTAGTGGTTGTGGTGTGGTGGGATAGAAAGAGAGAGAAGGAGAGGTAGGCAGAGAGAGGTAAGGAAGGGCAGAGAGGTGAAGAGAGACCCACAAAAAAAAAATCAGCAGCATGCAGTCCCAATCTAAGCCACTGGATGGTACTGTGTATCGTCATTCTGGCAGTTGGTGAATCAGGCTGTGAAGAGGGGAAGAAAGAACAATCTCCATTTTAACATTTTCTCTAGTAATTGAACTAATTACATCAAGAAAATGTTTACAATAATTTACATTTAAACTGTCTCTTCCAAATTTCCCAAATTGCTTTTTTTTTTAAGACGTTTACCACCACATTTTGTACATACTGCCTTATTTCTGCTAGTTTTGTATGTTAATAATATTACTAGTAATTACACAGGGAAGGTTAGGTGGGCAGCAAAGTATGATTTCACCTCTTGTTACTGTCTGAGTATGTGCAGCAGCTTGGTGGAGGACAGAAAACTGTTAGGGGAGATTGACTAGGTACTTCCTTGGACTCTGTCGGTGGACTGTGGGATGGCCATGAGCATTGGCAGATTCAGGTGGTCCACAGATCCCTTTTTTAAAACTTTGTTTATTTCTTTTCTTACATAACTCAAAATCTCAAGGTATTTACCTTTCTGTTTTATGTAATTCTCCAATTACAACCTCATTAAGTCTTCTCCATCCACAGTGCTGGCAGGATGTAAATCTGCAGGCAGGCCACAAATGGTATCTTTGGGACTCTGCCTCTTGGTAAATCTAAGACTTTCACCTTCTGATGACGCAGAATATTTGCACATGAAATTGTGACACTATTTTCTTTGTCTCTCACATCACACAGCAGCATATAAGGGGTTTACATCTCCTTGAAGAGCACCAAGCCACCAGATTCACCATTTATGGAGGTGACATTGATGAGATTATTTCTCAGAAGACATTTTCGCCAAGGCCGCAGAGTCTCCATAGAGAAGCAAAGAGAGCCTCAAATCGTCCGCCAGCCCTCAATCAGCAGCTGGTCCGATGACGCGGCAGATGAGGGATGATGATATATTACCAGCAATTGTGCTCATTAAAACAAGGGCACACTGCAAAATGAAAATTAGCCGGCGTATAGAGTAACCAAAATGATTCAAGGTTCAGCATTCTGGGAATAATTAACGAGACTCGCCGTGCACAATTTCAATAAAGAGACCAATGAGGATCTCTGAACTATGTGAGATCCCAACAGGATGGAAGAATGAATGTCGGAGAGACAAAAGGCAGATAATTCAACTCCGAAAGGTCGTTTGTGACTAAGGGAGAGAGAAAGAAATGGGTAGAGAGAGGAAGAAAGTGAAAAATATAGAAGGATCAGGCCAGGAGAGAGAGATGGGGGAGAGAGAGATATAGAGGGATCCAACCGGGGGAAAGAGAGAGATGGGGGGAGAGTGATATTGAGGGAAGTGGCTTTAGGAGACATATATAAAGGAAGTTGGCAGAGAAAGAGAGAGAGGGAGGGAGTGGTCGGAGAGAGTGTGATAGGGGGAGAGACTTAATGAGAGAGTGTAAGCCGTGTACCGGGGTGGGCTTCCCAGGATACAGTGAAGTCACGAACGAGGAAAGCAACCCCAACACCAGCTTTTGCCACAACAGAATTTTACTTAGATGTGGCAAGTAAACACAACCACAAATGCTGGAAACATACAATAAATTTACATACACCTAGCCCAAAGGCTGAGACCCTTGTGCTGCACAGCACGGCGCCTTCTGATGGATGAAGGTAGAAAGTGAAGTAATTTACCTACTGGCGGGCACAACTAAGCTGCCACACCTTACCTGTTATTACCCTAAAAGAGCAGGAATCAGTGTATGGGTGTATGGTATGGGCTAGCCTGCGGTGCAGCACAACAGCTTACAATCTTACACAAATCTACAGTATTCCCCCTCCCATAACTGGTCCTGTAGCACGTGTCTGAGTATTCCTTCTGAACAAAACGCCAGTCTGGCTTGAGTTTGTAGGATTTTATCAGCTCTCCAATGAGAAATGTCACTTTAAGTTGTGGAGTCCTTCCAATAATCAGTAACAACACTTGTGGCCTGACACAAACAGAGACCCTAACTAACTATAGGTCTGGACTCAGTCTATAGGCGCCAACACTGAAATGAGGTGCGTGCACGATCTTACCGACCCAGGTCTGCTTTGCATTTGCTGGTGACTCTGAACAGAACAAATGTCTCTCTCCAACAAGCTTGCAATATTGCAATGTATGCTGCGTTGTTCCTCTGCTCTCATCAGCATTACTGGCAGCAATCTTCCTTTCTCTGAACAGGATCAGGGTCTTGGACACAATCAGCTTCACTTAGCTTCAGCTCTGGTTACCGAGGGAAGCTCCCACAGCTGGATGTCATCGGATTCTCACCTCACACAGCCCCTTCATTCAGCATCGTTCAAAACTCCTCTTCCTATTCACTCCAACTCTGTGTGAAAACTCCACCTCTTCATGAATATACAACTATCTATGCAGTCTGAGGCTGTGTTAGAAAAACAGTGACATCTTGTGGCTAAACCGCAGAATTTCAGTCAAAACATTAATTTACTTCCACACAATCAGTGTTCAAACAATGAGAGCTGTTTCCCCATCTCACAAGAGCGAGATATAAAGGAAGCGGGCCGAGAGAGAAAGATGGAGGAAGAAGCCATGGAAGAGTGAGATGGGAAGAGAGAGATGGGAAGAAAGAGATAAGGATGAAGGGGGGGGGGGAGTGGGAAAGGGACTGGTGGTGGTTGGATGAAGGTGCGTTGGCCCATCCGGCAGAAGTGGTGGGTGTCCTGCCCGGACCATACCCTGGTAGACTGTATTTCAGCATACTTTGACCAGGTGTGTGGCATGGCCCCTAGTTGTGTTAACCCCCTAGCTGAGGCCTATTAGGCTATTAAATGTGAGTCAGAGTATGGGCCAAGGGTTTCCGATCAGTCTTGCTGCAGTTAATTCACAATAGACTCCTAGCGTTGGATCTGACTTATCAGCCACAACAGGGGGTGCAACAACTCCCCATCTCTGTTTTATTATCCCTTACCCATGATATTGTGTCTGGACTCACCTCCTATCCCTTTTATGTTATTCCTTACCCCTATTAATGAGTCTGGACTCGCCTCCTATCCCCATTACAATATATTTACTCAGATATTGTCCCTGAACTCATCTCCTATCCCCCTTATATTATATCTTACCCCTAATAATGTTCCTGGGCTCACCTCCTATCCCTTTTATATTATCCTTTACCCTAATAATGTCCCTGGACTCACTTCCTCCCACTTTTTCTATTATCCCTTCCCCTAATAATGTTTCTGAATTTTGCTCTTATCTCCTTATATTATCCCTTACCCCTGATAATGTCCCTTGACTCATCCCCTATCCCCTGTTATTGTACCTGGAATCACCTCCTGTCCCCTTTATATTATTCCTTACCCCTGATAATGTCTTTAGAATCACTTCCTATCCCCTTATAGTATCCCTTACCCCTGATAATGTCCCTAGACTCACCTCTTATCCCCTTTATATTATCCCTTACCCCTGATAATGTCCCTAGACTCACCTCCTGTCCCCTTTATAGTATCCCTTACCCCTGATAATGTCCCTAGACTCACCTCCTATCCCCTTTATAGTATCCCTTACCCCTGATAATGTCCCTAGACCAGGGGTGGGCAACTGTGGCCCTCCAGCTGTTGTAGAACTACAAGTCCCATGAGGCATTGCAAAACTGACAGTTACGAGCATAACTCCCAAATGCAAAGGCAAGATGGGACTTGCAGTTCACCAACAGCTGGAGGGCCACAGTTGCCCACCCCTGCCCTAGACTCACCTCCTATCCCCTGTATAGTATCCCTTACCCCTGATAATGTTCCTAGACTCACCTCCTATCCCCTTTATAGTATCCCTTACCCCTGATAATGTTCCTAGACTCACCTCCTATCCCCTTTA